ATTATTAACTGGTGTTGCATAGACTAAAGATTTGAGATGCCCCCATAGGAAAAAATCCAGGCTGTTTAGGTCAGGAGACCTAGGGGGCCATGGCTGAGGTCCACCCCGTCCTATCCACCTGTTTTCATATGCTACATTTAAATACTCCCGAGCCAAAATAGAAAAATGTGCTGGGGCGCCATCGTGCATATACCAAATACGGTTTCTTAGCAAAACAGGCAAATCTTCTATTAAAAAAGGCAATTCATGTTGAAGAAAATGCCTATATGACTGAGCATTAAGTCGATTAGGCAAAAAGAAAGGACCAATCAAATAATCCCCAATTATACCACCCCATACATTTAACGAGAACTGTTCTTGAAAATGCGTTTCTACAATTTCATGTGGATTTTCTTCAGCCCATATGTGGTTGTTATGAAAATTTATAATTAAGTCTCTAGAAAAGTTGGCTTCGTCGGTAAAAAGGATTTTACAGTCAAAATTAGGGTCTCTTGCTAGCCTGGCAAGGTACCATCGGCAGAAATTAAGCCTTAATGGGAAATCTCGAGGAAGGAGCGCCTGCACCCTTTGAATGTGGTAAGGGTATAGCAGAGAATCACGCAGGATACGCCAAACAACTTGATGACTAATGTTGAAATGTTCACTAATTTTTCTAGTGCTAGTATCTGGATGCTCTTCTATTTCATTTAAAACAGCTTCTTCAATCTGTGGTGTTCTTACCGTATATTGTCTACCTGCATCATTGGTATTCTTTTTAAAAGTTCCACTTTCTGCAAGACGCCTATGAATATTTGTGAATGTTCGATGATCGGGTATTATTCTATTATCGGGATAGCGCTCCATGTACAGGCGTGTAGCTTCTCTTGCATTTCCATCCGCAAGGCCATAGATGAAATGCATGTCAGCCATTTCAGAATTCGTATAATTTGGCATTGTTACGGACTGATAAGAAATTTAATTATAACGAGTCTTTTAAATAATTTTACACCTTGCAGTTTAAAACTTTAAATGCGTGCTGTCAATAGCATCGTTTTTATGTATTTTTTTGATGTTGTAGACAGTGTGTTGTCTGTGATGTTGTATCCAATAGCTACATAAACCATTTTATTTCAGATTTGATATTTAATAAGTAGTGGCAGAAATGAATTCAAATCATGTTTAAAAGAGTACACCATTACAACAATTGTTGTAAGGTAATTTTCTAGTTTTTCTAAATATTTAAGTTTTTTGTATTAAAATAAATCATTGTAACCAAAACCGTTTTGTTTCTAATAAGAAGTATAGAAATATTATTTTAAAAATAAATAAAAATAAATTATTAATAAAGCCAACCAGATTATTTTAGAAATTTGAATTTCATCTCGCAAATGACAACAACTTGTGTTATATTTTTTTTCTCGATAATGGTTGCAGATACGAAAAAACTTTAGGTTACTAAAAAGTTTCTAAACAAAACAGAAAACTTATTTTGTATTTTAAAATCTACCAGCAGCGCACCATAAAAAAGTTCTTGGGAAAAAAGGGGAGCATGACATACAAAAAAGTATCGCCCTGTAGATTCTTATAACCATTTGGCATGCCCAATGATGTAAGCCTTATATCCCAACCTATATTCCGAATTTGGGCCAAATATCTCAAAAACTGCAGAAGTTATAAGATAAAAACTAAAAAAATCTCCAAACTTTAACACCCTGTAGATCGGTAACGAAGCGTTTGCGGGCCCATGTTTATAGGAACTTTAATTCATAAAATAAGCCAAAGAATCACCCCCTTTTGTTTGTACATGATATTAAGGAACACCCTGTATATAAAACGGATTTATAAAAAATTTGTATGCGCTTTAACATTTATGTAATGTTGTCTTATTAAGTAAAGTGTTTGTTGGTGTGTAATGTTCAAATAACGTGCCCACGACGCTATAAAAGGAGACATTTTTATTTATTTTATAACAAGAAAAATACATAAATCATATTGTAAAAACATGTCTATTGTGTTCTTTTTTTTAATTAAATTGGTCTTTAATTTGATTAAAAAATACATTTACAATATATATTTATAACATTCATAACTAAACTTTACCAAATAATTTAATAATAAAGCAGCAATATATTCCCAATGAAAAACATTGTAAAACACTACAGCAAGTAAGCCAAAAAATATGTAGGTATATATTTTATTGCACAGTGCAATATTATGTATCAAGTTTGATAAACGCCATATTAGTCATGAATTTTGATTAAGAATTAGCGAGTGTTTAATAAAATGAGAGTCTTGAAAAGTTTATAAAAGAGTTGCATACTATTAGAGATGCGACTTGAAAAAAAAACGGTCAATTTTTTTTGGTTTTTTTTTTTTCAGGTTTTTTTCATTGTTTTTTTTCAAATGGTTTTTTTTCATATCTTAGGTTTTTTTTCAAGATTAGTCCCATTTGCCTAATTTTTTATGTTTCCAGTCCAGTTCATGGACTAAATGACTGTATTTACATTTAATAAATTTAGTAAATGTAAGTACAGTCTCGCGCCACCACCACCGAATTGACCAATAAGGGCCGCGCTTGTTTTGATTTGGTCCCAAAATTAAATTTTTGGACTTGTACTGTTCTTATTCTCACCGATTTAATTAAAGTTTTCAATGTAGCAATAAAACTTGTAGGTACTTATGTTTATTTTTTACGATTACCCAAAAAATATTGTGTATACACAGCCTCGAAACCTTTTAGAGTCCTCGAGATTGTCTTGGGTAATTTTTCCCTCGCTACTCCAAAGAGCGGCCTTAGTATACAAATAACTAATTAATAGTTAATTTTTATAATTTATTCCAATTTCTTGTTATAAAAATCAAAATAAAACATTAAATGTCGTAAAACCACTGGAGAACACAAAATATTTCTTACAAGTTTAATAATCCAAAAAAGCCTAAATAATAATAAATAAATAAAAAAAGAATAATCAAACACCCTAATTTTTAGCTTTTTACATTAAATACAGAAAATAACTCCCATGAGTCTATTTTTAATACATGTGCACTTTTATTATTTTGAAATTTTTGTCTAGAAATATATTGGCAATTCTAACAGCGCCGGATTTAGCTTTTTAAGAAATTTGGGGGCGCAAAATTTTGACTAGTAATTTTTTTTTACTACAACCAAAAGAGCTCTTTTCCTTTTTAATCTTTCGTGTAACTACTATATTAATTAGTTTTATAAAAAAAATCACAACCGTGATTATAGCGACAAGTTGTTATGGGCGACAAGCACACTAGTTTGCAGGAATTGATTTTTTGCATCGATGGGATGCGATTTAGGCGTAAAGGTTTTTAACATAATAGTTATTTATGTATCAAGGCAGTAAAGTCGTATTTTTTATCACGAATGTGAAAATTATTTGCCGAGGCGAAAGCCGTGGCAAATATCCACGTGAGTGATAAAAAATGACTTTAATGCCAAGGTGCATAATAAATTGAATATATCTATATATATATATATGAGGCGTGGCCTCGCCTCCCTCCAAGGCGCGTCACAGTAGCTTGTGTGATAAACGACATGACGAAAGGTCGAGCAGGTAAGGACTTAAAAAATTAAATGATAATAATGCAAAAAATCTCATTAGCGATGCAGGCTATTTGCTTACCTACTGTGTCGCGCGTTGGAGGGAGGCGAGGCCACGCCCCATATATATATATATATATAGATATATTCGGTTTTACTCTGAACGGGCTGTATTTGCCCGCCGCGGCGATTTTTTAACCAAATTAATAAAATTAACTTATTATTTTTATTAAACAACATTTTATGAAAGTGTCCAATCGACCGGTCGACCTCCGCTAAGGTGCTTTTTTTTAAATATTATTTAGTTGCTGCTGAGGAGCAGTAGACAAATCTTAAATCGACAGTAAAGTTCTACTGCTGAGCTATTCCATGACAAACATTTCAAAATGTTCGAAGGGAATTTAAGAATAGTCTGTACTATTGGAATAAATAATTTTACAAATAATTATGGTTATTTAAAAAAAATGAAACTATTTAAAAGTGTTTTTTTATTACTTCTAAATAAGGTATCACAAAGAGAGCGTTGCTATTTAAAAAAAATGAGTTGGGGCGTCTACAACCCCAGGGGTTGTAGTTTCATATTTGTATCAATGGTGGTTATACCACCACATATCTTAAAAACGGTTTTTTATATCTTTTAGGCTTATAGAGCGTTGCTTCATGTATATGTATATATATAACTATAATAGTTAAACTATTATAACTATTCTTTCATTAGGTTTTGGTAATCCATTTTTAGCAAGGTTTATGGAATGTTTTATTTTTAAATAATGTATACTTCCTTGCTTGTTATTATTCTTTATTTGCGAATAGTTTCGGTTATACACCATCTTCAGGCAAAAATGTCAACTTGACATTTTTGCCTAAGAGATGGTGTATAACCGAAACTAGTCGCAAATAAAGAATATAAACAAGCAAGGAAGTATACATTATTTAAAAATTAAACATTATAACTATTTTTTTAATGCTGTGGACATTAGGAATATATAGCTAAGTTTTTATTACCAAACAGTGGTCTGTTTTTCATTAAATATCAAAAACTTCTTTATTTCAGCCGGATAATTTAATATAAATAATACAAATACAAAATGACATTTTGAGGTATACCTATGGTTGGGCAGCAATATGCTGTCAAGAAAATGCGTGACATTTTATGTAAATATATACTAATTACAATTAACAATTTGCATTGCCATAGAATCTAGGGCCTGTAGATTATTTTTCATAAGGTAATTTTTCAAAAATGTGTTATTTTGGAAAAAAACTTCCCAAAACCCTAGATATATAAAAAATCACCAGATCTGGGAAAACACTTGCGGAAAGTGTCTTTTCCGCACTAAACTGATTACCGAATTCTGCTACCCGTCGATTATTCAACGGCAGACCGGAAGAGTAGCACTTTCCGCTTAAGTTAGGTAAATAACTATTTTATTAAACTAATTTTCTTTTTTAGCATATGAGTTATGGTTTAAACAAATAATATTCGAAATGGATTCAATAAGAGGAATATTCAGCGACGTTTTAGAAGAATCACAAACACTGGAAATCCTTAAAAGACTAAATCGAATAGTTTTAATATTAAAGGTAAATACATTAAAACTCGATAACGAAATTATTTACTAATCTGTAGGTATATTAAATACACATTAACAATAATTTAATTTTTATTCATTAAATAAACCTTTTCGGTTATTAAATATTTAAGTATTTAAATAAAGTTACAAAAATTAAAACTATCTGTAATAATAGTATTATGTGCGACTAGTGAGAGAAAGGAGATTCCTCGAGCGTGGACTTTTCTCTGTAGAACGCGATTGGACCAATAATCACTTTTTTATTATAACTGTAAGTGAATTAATTTTAAAAGTATAGGCCCCCAAAGGTAACCTTTTTAAAGTTCAGAAGATAAATTCTGCAATTTAGAGAGGTGGCGGACCCTCCAAACATTGTCCAATCAAAATCATTTTTTTTTTCGTTAATTGTGATAATAGTTCACCACTTTTCCAAACATAGGTGTAGTCAATTTTTACCATCATATATTTTGCTCAGGAAATTGGACCAACATAAGTCGTTAACGTCGCCACTTGAATCAGTGGTTACACTGGTCTGCAAAAAAATATTTTTTCTATTGTTTCCATAGATGATAACATTATATTTAGTGCTCTAAACATTTCATAAAAAATGATATTAATAAAGAATTACAAAAAAGTAAAAAAATACTATGGCTGAAGTTTTACATAACCTACACATAAAATGCTTAACAAAAATATATAGAATATGATCTTTGTATAAAACCAAAATATTCTTTCTCTTAGGACTCTATTTTGTATGTATACGCATAAAACGAATTTAAAAAACCTAAATTTATGATATTTTGAAAGAAAATTAATATCACAAAATCGGCACAAAAAAATCGGCCAACGGGAATCAAACCATTAAAATCTTTATATTTATGATGTAATTTTTTTAGGGATTATTTCGTTGCAGATCAGTGTTATCGCCATTTCGGCCATTCAGACGGATTAAATATACCAACTAATCCAAGTGGCTAACGTTAACGACTCATGTTAGTGAATTGGCCTAAATATAGGCATATTAAATGATTAAAAACCTGTATTTCACTCCATCCTAATACCTATGCCTCTGAGATTTTTATTTAGAAAAATTATTCAATCAATCTAACGTACATTTTACTTCCTCTACATATATTATAAATTCAAAGAGGGCAAAATCTCAAAAAAGTAATTTTTGACATTTCTAACAGCCATTTAAATTTTGTTATTTTTCGTCATGTGACAAAACTCACCCAATCATTTCAACATTTAACTGATAACATTTAGGGATATTTTTAATCACTATCACACCAAGACTATCAACTTCATATAAATTATATAAATTTAAAAATGTCACGTCGCAATGTGCAATGTGAATTTTCAACTTATTAACACGCTAGTTAAAGAAAAAATTCGAAAAAATACCAGTCATTAAATGAGCATTGATACTGTAAGATTGGGTCAATATGAGGAAGAAAGATGGGACATAATTCAAAGACGCAACGGTAAGGACACAGTAAAAAAATATTTGTTAATTTTAACCAAAAGTTAACCAGATTTTATGTTTATCCATGTCCACATAACTATTATTATATACTATTTAAGTTTACAACCAACTGTAATCTGTTAACTAATTGAATAAGTAGTTTGTAATTATACAAACATTTTGTAGATTTAATAACAAAATTTTATGTCAATTTTAACCATAATTCTTGTAATTTTGTATTTTTACAAACCTTTTTGTCCACCCAGTAACAAAAGTATTTTTTGGAACTCTCGGAAGTTAAATGAAAAGAATTTTGATAAGAAATGTTGCTTTTTTAATAAATTTCCTAAACAAAAAAAAATTAACACATACCTACATAAAGGAACAGAAAAAAAAACATACACACAATTAAATAATGAAATCATCAGCTTTTCTTTAATTTCGTTCGTGTTCTCCACCAGCATCGATAAACAGCTGTTTCCCTTTATTGGAACTCATCAGTACCGAGTTGCTGTATGGTGCGGAACACAAACGAAATTATGATTTCTCGTCCTTATATAGGTTTTGGAACCATTCACTGCGGTGAGGCTAAAGTAAGTGGTGCCATCTACCGTCTTAAACATATAAAAAGAACATGTCGAAAGACGGTAGATGGCACCACTTACTTTCGTCTCACAGCAATGAATGATTCCAAAACGTATACAAGGACGAGGAATCATAATTTCCTTTGTGTTCCGCGTCAGTCAGTTAAACCTGTTAATGCGTATTCTCAATGGAAAATCACGTACTTTTTTTAACGAAATATTTTGTTAAGCATTAAGAAAATAAGCTGTAACCTTTAAAATTAACAAAATGCTTACAAAATGCATATTACCTTTACAAAACTTTCGATAAAATATTTGTTAAAATAATTACAAACCCTTGTTTTCTACAAAAAAATATGTTAAAATTTTACAAAATAAAATTAACTAACTACAAACTCATGTTAACTAATCTTTTATAACAGTGTATAAGATATGTATATAAGATAAGCAATATGATTTTTTATCAAAAAATTTCCTGACCGAATATGCTAAAGAAGCTTAGCTAGTAGCGCCAACACCTGACAATTATCATCATAAACAATCTACAACTTTTAATAATCAGCTGTTAAACGCGTTTGTTACAAACGAGTGTTTTTGAGAATAAGACCGGAAAATATTAAAATATCGAGAGAGAAAAACGTGGAACGATTTGTTGTGTTGTTCGGTGTTTTTTAAGAGGGGGTTTTAACCCGCTTCCCAATAAACAGTGGAAATCCGAATGAAATAAATTGCATACAGTCCCTGTAAATATAAATTGTTCCTATTAGATACAATAAATACACATTTAGTAATGATTTAACTAAAAGTTGTAAACATTTCAATTCAGTAAAAATCATAAAACAAATAAGTCATCTAAATTCAAACAGCTGTATGAATTATTAAAAGCGTTCATTGAGAAACGGCTATTATATAATGTATTATATATAATATAATGTTGCCATGAATTCGTAGATATATCTTTTTGTTTACTGTTTTAAAATGCAGTTGTCGGCGATTTTTAGAGGCCTCGAATAATACAAAGTTTGTACAACTAATATTTTTTGTTAGATTTCTTAAAAATGTCCTAACTTAAATATATATCATATTAAGTAAAGTTATTATTAGTTAGTTCTGCACCAACAAATATACGTACCCAATTGGATCCTTTGGCAAAACATAAAAATACAAGTATTTAGTTCTTGAATTATGTTTACAATTAAAAACACAATAATTCACCATGATCACTTAGATAAAATACACACACTAACATAACCATATAAGCATAAAGCGTTGTCTTAATTAATAATATAAGGAACAATAACACGCGCGATTTACCTGTGCAATTGAAACTTTGCGAATAAAATTTGTCAAGTAAGACTTCTGCTTTCCTCCCTTTTGTGAACTACTTATTTATTTAAAAATCATGTGCAGTTCGTATGGTTTAAATATATTATTGAAAAACCGTGTAAATCAATAATGCTATCGAGCGCCACCAGATGGCGCACGCGTTGCGAAAACCCGATGCTTCTTTAGCGTATATCGCTCTGACATTGACAAATGCCTTTTGATTTTATGTCAATTTTCTCAAGCACCAAGCAACCTGCTTTTGATTGTCATAAAATTATGTCGTGAATCTTAAGGATATATTAATATTATAGTGGGGTGATTTTCAGCTATAATTATAGCTGAAAATGGGTTTTATAATTATTACAATAAAAGAAGATATAATCGCAGCCATTTTAATCGTCTATGTAGAAGATTTCAAATTATTTAAAAATATTGATGTTATATGTTGACAATTATTATCAAAAATTCCGTTCAGAGTAAAACCGAATATAGGGAAATGTATCAGGCGTGGCCTCGCCTCCCTCCAACGCGCGACACAGTAGCTAAGCGAATGTTAATGAAATGCATTATTATCATTTAATTTTCAAGGTCGTCTTACCTGCTCGACCTTTCGTCATGTCGTTTATCACACAAGCTAAAGTGATGCGCGTTGGGGAGGCGAGGCCACGCCCGATACGTTTCCCTATATTTGGTTTTACTCTGAACGGGCTGTATAATAATTACACTAGTCAACAGACATTTTGCCACAGGGTGGCCAACAACTTTTCTAGTGTAATTTGAATGTGCTGATTCCAAAAATAACCATAATTTTGCTTAATTAGCCTTTGTTTTTAAGATATTTTAAAAACCGTTTTTTCGATATGCAAAGGTTCAAAATCGTTTATTTATTTGATTAAATACTTTAACCAAGAATCATTCATGATCCTATAAGTCATAATTTACATAACTAAAAAAACACATTTAAAAAGTTGGACCCTATTTTTAAAGAAAAAAAATCGCTTTTTTAGAAGTACAAAGTGCTATTACGAGAACAATTTTAGTACTTTATCACTCTATAATTTATTTATTTTTTTTTAACTAAATTAGGTCTCATGACCAATCATCTTTGTTTAAAGTTTTTTATTAAAAAATATATATACTAATATGAATGTTTGTATGTTGAAAAACACTTTTTTCAGAATATTTCGAAAATAAAGGCTCAATGACGAACAGCTAACCCAAATTATTCTAAAAAAATTGTTGCTAACCTGTGGCAAACAAAAAATTTCATTTTGTCGTGCAGTGTTATTATTGTAAATATTAAATTTTAAAAATCACATGCTATTTTTACATACAAACTTATATTTTTATATACAGGGTGTCCCAAAATTGGCGGTTCAAAGAGTAAAAGTAAATTCCTTTACAATTTTTTTAACTCGCAAATTCCAGGAGTTATTAATTTCAATTGATTTGACTAGTGGCCACATTAAATTTAAAAAAATATTTTTTTTGTAAATGTAAAAAATAAATATAAATAAAAAATAATTAATTAATATTATTTTTATGCACAATTCACACAACTGCCTACAAAACTGGCACTTACAACGTTGTTTCAGCATAGCACCCAGTTGATAATTATAATTGATATTGATAAAT